GTATAGCTAATCTATTCGTTTGCTCATCTATCACTGATCAGAAACATTTAGCATGCAATATTGTAGCCCAAATCAAGTGTAGGCCTATTATTTTGCTCGATCGCGTCAAGGCAACTCCAAATGCCAGCGGAGGTCGTGAAATCTCCTATTATTTTCTATGGTATCATGATGAAGATTCTCTCAATGTAATACCCTACGCCTGCTCCCTAGCAAAGTGGAGTGAGGGTAGGAAAGAGATGAAACGTGGATCAAAAAAGCATGGGCTGGGGCTCTGCTTCAAAATATCACTTTAAAAAATATTTGTATTTTATTCTGTTATATTCCATTATATCCTTACTAAAAATATATGTGTGTGTTGACTGTGATCAGAGTAGGTGTGTCTTGTCTGTAGAATGTTTTTTTAACGATTTTATTTGATATTTTATAGACAATACAAAACATCAACAACATCACACCTGCCAGACCCACTAGCACACACACCCATCTCCAGCGCCCGCATCACTTTAAGCCACATGGCCTCAAACTGCACCATTTTGTTTCTCTCCGTAGCCCTTGCACTTTAATTTTATGGATAATAAAGCATTTGACCTTTCCTTTGCGTTAATGACGGAGGATTGGTTGATTTCCAGTTTTTAAGTATACATTTTTTAAAGATGATTGACAAGAAAAGTATCATACAGTCATGGTCAAAAGTTTTGAGAATGACACAAATATTAATTTTCACAAAGTCTGCTGCCTCAGTTTTTATGATGACAATTTGCATATACTCCAGAATGTTATGAAGAGTGATCAGATGAATTGCAATTAATTGCAAAGTCCCTCATTGCCATGAAAATGAACTTAATCCCCCAAAAACAATTCCACTGCATTTCAGCCCTGCCACAAAAGGACCAGCTGACATCATGTCAGTGATTCTCTCATTAACTCGGGTGAGAGTGTTGACGAGGAAAAGGCTGGAGATCACTCTGTCATACTGATTGAGTTAGAATAACAGACTGTAAGCTTTAAAAAGGAGGGTGGTGCTTGAAATCATTGTTCTTCCTCTGTTAACCATGGTTACCTGCAAGGAAACACGTGCCGTCATCATTGCTTTGCACAAAAAGGGCTTTACAGGCAAGGATATTGCTGCTAGTAAGATTGTACCTAAATCAACCATTTATCGAATCATCAAGAACTTCAAGGAGAGAGGTTCAATTGTTGTGAAGAAGGCTTCAGGGTGCCCAAGAAAGTCCAGCAAGTGCCAGAACCGTCTCCTAAAGTTGATTCAGCTGCAGGATCGGGGCACCACCAGTGCAGAGCTTGCTCAGGAATGGCAGCAGGCAGGTGTGAGGTCTGCACGCACAGTGAGGCGAATACTTTTGGAGGATGGCCTGGTGTCAAGAAGGGCAGCGAGGAAGCCACTTCTCTCCAGGAAAAACATCAGGGACAGACTGATATTCTGCAAAAGGTACAGGGACTGGACTGCTGAGGACTGGGGTAAAGTCATTTTCTCTGATGAATCCCCTTTCCGATTGTTTGGGGCATCTGGAAAAAAGGTTGTCCGGAGAAGACAAGGTGAGCGCTACCATCAGTCCTGTGTCATGCCAACAGTAAAGCATCCTGAGACCATTCATGTGTGGGGTTGCTTCTCAGCCAAGGGAGTGGGCTCACTCACAATTTTGACTAAGAACACAGCCATGAATAAAGAATGGTACCAACACATCCTCCGAGAGCAACTTCTCCCAACCATCCAAGAACAGTTTGGTGACGAACAATGCCTTTTCCAGCATGATGGAGCACCTTGCCATAAGGCAAGAGTGATAACTAAGTGGCTCGGGGAACAAAACATCGACATTTTGGGTCCATGGGCAGGAAACTCCCCAGACCTTAATCCCATTGAGAACTTGTGGTCAATCCTCAAGAGGCGGGTGGACAAACAAAAACCCACAAATTCTGACAAACTCCAAGCATTGATTATGCAATAATGGGCTGCCATCAGTCAGGATGTGGCCCAGAAGTTAATTGACAGCATGCCAGGGCGGATTGCAGAGGTCTTGAAAAAGAAGGGTCAACACTGCAAATATTGACTCTTTGCATAAACTTAATGTAATTGTCAATAAAAGTATTTGACACTTATGGAATGCTTGTAATTATACTTCAGTATACCATATGTCAGGTTGTCAGTGTGATGTGGTAGGACGAAGTCAGGCGCAGGACACAGAGCTAATCGAAAACATACTTTACTCGTTTTGTGATATAAAACTTTTAAGTAGCATTTTTTGGAAGATATCTACATTGGTCAATCCAAAATAGCTTTTTAAAGCTGTCATGGAAATGAAATGTATTTCCTGTTACCAAGTCATTTATGGTTTCTATGCCTTTAGTTTTATTTTATTTTTTTATGTGAACCAATTTATCAGTGAATTCTGAAAAGCTATCCAAGGTTTGTTCCATAAGGTTGTGTTTTTAGGGAGTGATATTGGTTCTTGTAGAATATGTTAAATTTTCACAGGGGTGGCAGCATCATGCTGTGGGGGTGCTTTGCTGCAGTAGGGACTGGTGCACTTCACAAAATAGATGGCATCATGAGGAAGGAAAATTATGTGGATATATTGAATCAACATCTCAAGACATCATTCAGGAAGTTAAAGCTTGGTCCCAAATGGACAATGACCCCAAGCATACTTCCAAAGTTGTGGCAAAATGGCTTAAGGACAACAAAGTCAAGGTATTGGAGTGGCCATCACAAAACCCTGACCTCAATCCTAAAGAAGATTTGTGGGCAGAACTGAAAAAGCGTGTGCAAGCAAGGAGGCCTACAAACCTGACTCAGTTACACCAGCTCTGTCAGGAGGAATGGGCCAAAAACCACCCAACTTATTGTGGGAAGCTTGTGGAAGGCTACCTGAAATGTTTGACCAAAGTTAAACAATTTAAATGCAATGCAACCAAATACTAATTGAGTGTATGTAAACTTCTGACCCACTGAGAATGTGATGAAAGAAATAAAAGCTGAAAGAAATAATTCTCTACTATTATTCGGACATTTCACATTCTTAAAATAAAGTGGTGATCCTAACTGACCTAAAACAGGAAATCTTACTAGGATTAAATGTCAGGAATTGTGAAAAACTGAGTTTAAATGTATTTGGGTAAGGTGTATGTAAACTTCTGACTTCAACTGTATTTGAGGTTTAAAAGGCTTCGGAAGTTTGTAATTTCCACTTTAGTATAAATTTTAGACTTTATTTTCCCTTATGAACAATCTATCAACCCCTACAAAAATGTCCATTAATTATAATCCACTTAATAATTCACATTTCCTGTTGCTGCAGGATTATCTTCCAGCTGTAGCAAAGTGGCTCAAATTAAGATCCTACATCTGTACCTATTGCAAAATATCGTGGTGGATCTTTGATGTTATGGGGCTATTTTGCTTTCACTGATCCTGGGCCCCTTGTTAAGGTCAACAGCATCATGAACTTTACCCAGTACCAGGACATTTTAACCAAAAAACCTGGTTGGCTCTGCCAGGAGGCTGAAACTTGTCTGCAAGTATATCTTCCAACACGACGATAACCCCAAGCACACATCAAAATGTTAATTGACCACAAAATCTACTTTTTGCAATGGCCATCTCAGTCCCCGGACTCAGTCCTGTGTAACTGGTGTGAAATGGCTAGCTAGTTAGCAGTGCGCTCTAGTAGCATTTCAATCGTTGATGTCACTCACTCAAGGGCCTTCTGCTGTGGTGGCAAGAAGACGAGCACCAGATAGGCTGTGACAGGCAGTAAATGACAGCAACATTCAATGACAGACAGCAATAGATGCTGACAGTAAGAACCAATCTGGTTTACGTCAACCTTATTTGTATTTACAAGCATATACAATCCATAAAACATTTTAAACTGCATTTAGACCCAGCAGGTTTTTGTTCATTCTTGATGTCTAGTAAGCTAAACTTCCACTTCTCCGTCAGACACATTTGAAAGTGGCACATTTGAAAGCATTGTAAGAAATATAATTGTAAAGTGTGGACACGTTTTGAGAATTCAATATTTATTGATTACATCGCTCTTCTTTATTGATCTGTACAAATAAAACAATGCAATTATGAACATTTGTAAAATAAAAACAAACAATACGTGTTAGCTTTTAATACTTTCTCATTTCTGTTTCTTAATAGCATAACAGTGTCATTCATAAACTCCAGTATCTTGTGGGAACAGGGCTGTGCTGCAGTCAGAACAGGAAGTAGGAAGAGGTAGACAGGAAGTCAAGCAGGGGAATTGGTGGGCAGAAAACAGAAAACAGTGTACGTACACTAACAGCCATTATCTTTTTAAACAAACTGACTAAGATATTAAGAAAATTAAGCTATTTTTTTAAAAATCAGTTAGGGCATGGGCACCATCAAAAACATGCTCTTTAATCAAGTGCTGAATGATTTTTCAACAAACAGATCTGTGCTTCAGGTGGATTCAAACTGGGCAACAGCAGTGAGGCACATCAACAATACATCTGCAGCCGTATGACAGTGAAACAGACGGTGCATTCCAATCAATAACTGGTGTCTGCTGGTGAGACCATATAACGGAGTAGGGATCTTCATGGATTGCATATTGTCTTGGCAAATGAATATTGATCATCTCAAATGTACATGCTAAAATGTAAAAAAACGAAAGAAAGCAAAAAAGATCTTGAAAGCATTTGATTGGTCTGTGACAATCAGCAGGTCTATCTCTGCCACAGACACACGCAGAGAGAGGAAGACAGAGCCATGCTCACAGCAGGTTCTAACTAAATATCTACAGATTTGAGCAACTTCAAATACTTGTCTCTGTCCGTTACCCTATTAGTCAACAGGGTGAGGAGGTGGAGCTTTTCCAGTTTGACCACAACCAGCGGGCACATCTAAAATAAAACCCTTTTCCTCATACAGTGCAGTACTTCTGGTCAAAGCCAAGGTAGTGTATTTATGGGGAACAGGGTATGATTTGAGATGGAGCTCCGCTCCTGCTTCATACATCCACAGTCTGTTGTGATTCCTCCTCCACCTGGATCTCAGAGTTCACCTGTCCCTCTGCTGACACCTGCACCACCCGGATCTCCACCCCTGCCTCCTTCAATCGCTCCATGTCCTCCTCACACATCTCCGTCACCTCTTCCACCACCATGTCCGTTTCCTCCATGGCTACCACGTCTACAGGCTCCACGGTAACATGCTCCACCCTCATCCCGTCCTCCAGCAAGAGGGTCTTGCTCTCACCTCCCTCCTCGTCCTCCTCCCCAGCCACTTCCTCTTGCGTTGCCATGGCGCCGATGTCCAGTTCCTGGGCCATCAGCGTGTCGTCTGTGACACTGTGCAGGTCGCGGAGGTGTCGGCGCAGGTCGTGGGGCTGGGTGAACCAGAGGTCACACATGGTGCAGTGGTTGGGCTTCTCTCCTGTGTGGGTCGTCAGGTGGTCTTTAAACATCTCCCAGCTGTTGAAAACACTGCTGCACACCTAGAGAGAGATCATTTTAGAACCCCAGCAAGTGCACTAGTCAAGGGTGTGATCGGCACAACATCAGCACAAAAACAGTACATTTTGACTCCTGATTAAATCAGGAAGAAAGGAGTGTTCTCTGTACCTGACATTCGTAGAGTTTCTTTCGTCCCTTCTTGGCCCCGGCGCCGTTTTGACAGGCAGCCATGTGACATTTCAATGTGCTGTTCCTGGCAAAGCGCTCATGGCAGTCTGGACACTCAAACGGCTTCTCACCTACACACACAGGGACCAAATAATGAATTACATCTAATGCATAACTCAGGAGATCCTATTGAGGTGGTCGCATTCACATTCACAAGAACAGGTCACACAGTCATCAATGCACATGATCATACTCATAGAGGAGAGACAAAGGTGTTGTTGAAGTGAAGTCTGGTTGATAAGTGCAATGAAGTGCTGTGGATGCCGTTTTAGCCTGCCCACAGTGCCCAGGAACTACAAATGAACATCAAGTCGGAAGTTTACATACACTTAGGTTGGAGTCATTAAAACTTGTTTTTCAACCACTCCACACATTTCTTGTTAACAAACTATAGTTTTAGCAAGTCGGTTAGGACATCTACTTTGTGCATGACAAGTAATTTTTCCAACAATTGTTTACAGACAGATTATTTCACTTATAATTCACTGTATCACAATTCCAGTGGGTCAGAAATGTACATACACTAAGTTGACTGTGCCTTTCAACAGCTTGGAAAATTCCAGAAAATGATGTCATGGTTTTAGAAGGTTCTGATAGGCTAATTGACATCATTTGAGTCAATTGGAGGTGTACCTGTGGATGTATTTCAAGGCCTACCTTCAAACTCAGTGCCTCTTTGCTTGACATCATGGGAAAATCAGCCAAGACCTCAGAAGAAAAACAAATAGACCTCCACAAGTCTGGTTCATCCTTGGGAGCAATTTCCAAATGCCTGAAGGTACCACGTTCATGTGTACAAACAATAGTACACAAGTATAAACACGATGGGACCACGCAGCCGTCATACCGCTCAGGAAGGAGAGGTGTTCTGTCTCCTAGAGATGAACATACTTTGGTGCGAAAAGTGCAAATCAATCCCAGAACAACAGCAAAGGACCCTGTGAAGATGCTGGAGGAAACAGGTACAAAAGTATCTATATCCACAGTAAAACAAGTCCTATATCGACATAACCTGAAAGGCCGCTCAGCAAGGAAGAAGCCACTGCTCCAAAACCACCATAAAAAAGCCAGACTACGGTTTGCAACTGTACATGGGGACAAAGATCGTACATTTTGGCGAAATGTCCTCTGGTCTGGTGAAACAAAAATAAAACTGTTTGGCCATAATGACCATCGTTATGTTTGGAGGAAAAAGGGGGCTGCTTGCAAGCCGAAGAACACCATCCCAACCGTGAAGCACGGGGTGGCAGCATCATGCTGTGGGGGTGCTTTGCTGCAGGAGGGACTGGAGCACTTCACAAAATAGATGGCATCATGTGAAGAAATCATTCAGGAAGTTAAAGCTTGGTCGCAAATGGGTCTTCTAAATGGACAATGACCCCAAGCATACTTCCAAAGTTGTGGCAAAATGGCTTAAGGACAACAAAATCAAGGTATTGGAGTGGCCATCACAAAACCCTGACCTCAATCCTATAGAAGATTTGTGGGCAGAACTGAAAAAGCGTGTGCGAGCAAGGAGGCCTACAAACCTGACTCAGTTACACCATCTCTGTCAGGAGGAATGGGCCAAAATTCACCCAACCTATTGTGGGAAGCTTGTGGAAGGCTACCAATTTAAAAGGCAATGCTACCAAATACTCATTGAGTGTATGTAAACTTCTGACCCACTGGGAATGTGATGAAAGAAATAAAAGCTGAAATAAATCATTCTCTCTACTATTATTCTGACATTTCACATTCTTAAAATAAAGTGGTGATCCTAACTGACCTAAGACAGTTAATCTTACTAGGATTAAATGTCAGGAATTGTGAAAAACTGAGTTTAAATGTATTTGGCTAAGGTGTATGTAAACTTCCGACTTCAACTGTAGTTAACTCGGGCACTTGAACACAGATGAACTTGAACCCCTAAATCACATGTCAAACTCGGAGGGCCGAGTGTCTGTGGGTTTACGCTCCACCCTTGTACGTGATTGCTGAATTAAGGTCACTAATTAGTAAGGAACTCCCCTCACCTGGTTGTCTAGGTCTTAATTGAAAGGAAAAAACAAAAATCCCGCAGACACTCGGCCCTCCATGGAATGAGTTTGACACCCCTGCCCTAAATGAATCCCTCTGGGTATTATCATTCTCACCAGTGTGCTTTCGTAAGTGCTCCTTGAAGTGTCCAAAGTGGTCAAACTGCTTGTCACAGTAATCGCACACGTGCATCTTTTTCTTCTGGGACTGGCTGCGCGACAGCTCCTCTGCCTCGTAATGTAACGTGTTCAGGTGCTGTTTCAGTGCCGCCTCCCGCATGTACGCCTTACCGCAGTGGCAACACACATGCGGCTTGTCCAGGGTGGCCACGTGCGCGCGCATGTGCTGTTTGAGGTGGTAGTAGAGACGGAAGCTGCGGTCACATTTGTTGCAGCGGAACATGTTGTCCAGCTGAGAGATCTGGACCTCGACCACCTCCAGGCCCTCGAGAGTCTTGGGAGCTGTCACCGTCTCCTCCTGATACACCTCCTCCTGGATCTCCTACACACACACAACTTTATTTTTCATAATGTATGGATGCATTGAGATGAAAGGACGACTTGTTTTAAGAAAGATTGGAAATGTCACCAAAATAATAGTCTCCTTATAATATTAAAATGAATGCTTTGAATCAATGTTGGTCACGGTCCTTCCAAGTGTGTGGTTTTTACACGCGCATTAGAGAGACAGAGTGTTTTGTTTACCTCCTCCAGTCCTTCCTTCTTCACCACGTGCAGCATTGGCCCCCCCTGCTGGTACTTGCTGGTGATATCAGCGAGCAGTGCCAGGGCCGAGTCGTCCGAGGCTGCCTGGGCGTTCCGAGCAGCGTCTACCACCTCCTCCATACCAGTCTCCTCCACCTCGATGGCCCCCTCCCCGATCTCCACCTCAATCTCCACCTGCAAGGACAGACTGGGGTCAGCACAGCAACAGATATTAGGAGGAAAGGACAGAGGATTAGGATGATGATGATTTCAAATCAATTTTTATTTGCCACATGCGCCAAATACAACAGGTGTAGACATTACCGTGAAATGCTTATTTACAGCCCTTAACCAACAATGAATTTATTTTTAAATAAAAAAGTAAAATAAAACAACAAAAAAAAGTGTTGAGAGAAAAAGAGCAAAAGTAAAATAAAATAACAGTAGGGAGGCTATATATACAGGGGGGTACCGGTGCAGAGTCAATGTGCGGGGGCACCGGCTAGTTGAGGTAATATGTACATGTGGGTAGAGTTAAAGTGACTATGCATAAAAAACAGAGTAGCAGCAGCGTAAAAAGATGGGTTGGGGGTGGGGGGGGGGGGGGGGCAGTGCAAATAGTATGGGTAGCCATGATTTGCTGTTCAGGGGTCTTATGGCTTGGGGGTAGAAGCTGTTGAGAAGCCTTTTGGACCTAGACTTGGCGCTCCGGTACCGCTTGCCGTGCGGTAGCAAAGACAACAGTCTATGACTAGGGTGGCTGGAGTCTTTGATAATTTTTAGGGTCTTCCTCTGACACCGCCTGGTATAGAGGTCCTGGATGGCAGGAAGCATGGCCTCAGTGATGTACTAGGGCCGTACGCACTACCCTCTGTAGTGCCTTGCGGTCAGAGGCCGAGCAGTTGTCATACCAGGCGGTGATGCAACCAGTCAGGATGCTCTCGATGGTGCAGCTGTATAACTTTTGGAGGATCTGAGGACCCATGCCAAATCTTTTCAGTCTCCTAAGGGGGAATAGGCTTTGTCGTGCCCTCTTCACGACTGTCTTGGTGTGTTTGGATCATGATAGTTCGTTGGTGATGTGGCACCAAGGAACTTCTCTCAACCTGTTCCACTACAGCCCCATCGATGAGAATGGGGGCGTGCTCAGTTCTTTTTTTTTTCCCCTGTAGTCCACAATCATCTCCTTTGTCTTGGTCACGTTGAGGGAGAGGTTGTTATCCTGGCACCACATGGCCAGGTCTCTGACCTCCTCCCTATAGGCTGTCTCATCATTGTCGGTGATCAGGCCTACCACTGTTGTGTTGTCGGCAAACTTAATGATGGTGTTGGAGTCGTGCCTGGCCATGCAGTCATGAGTGAACAGGGAGTACAGGAGGGGACTAAGCACGCACCCGTGAGGGGCCCCTGTGTTGAGGATCAGCGTTGCAGATGTGTTGTTACCTACCCTTACCACCTGGGGGTGGCCCGTCAGGAAGTCCAGGATCCAGTTGCAGAGGGAAGTGTTTAGTCCCAGGGTCCTTAGCTTAGTGATGAGCTTTGAGGGCACTATGGTGTTGAACGCTGAGCTGTAGTCAATGAATAGCATTCTCACGTAGATGTTCCTCTGGTCCAGGTGGGAAAGGGCAGTGTGGAGTGCAATAGAGATTGCATCATCTGTGGATCTGTTGGGGCGGTATGCAAATTGGAGTGGGTCTAGGGTTTCTGGGATAATGGTGTTGATGTGAGCCATGACCAGCCTTTCAAAGCACTTCATGGCTACAGACGTCAGTGCTATGGGTCGGTAGTCATTTAGGCAGGTTATCTTAGTGTCCTTGGGCACTGGGACTATGGAGGTCTGCTTGAAACATGTTGGTTTTACAGACTCAGTCAGGGACATGTTGAAAATGTTGGTGAAGAGACTTGACAGTTGGTCAGCACATGCTCGGAGTACACGTCCTGGTAATCCGTCTGGCTCTGCGGCCTTGTGAATGTTGACCTGCTTAAAAGTCTCACTCACATCGGCTACGGAGGGCATGATCACATAGTCATCCGGAACAGCTGGTGCTCTCATGCATGCTTCAGTGTTGCTTGCCTCGAAGTGAGCATAGAAGTGGTTTAGCTCATCTGGTAGGCTTGTGTCACTGGGCAGCTCGCGGCTGTGCTTCCCTTTGTAGTCTGTAATAGTTGTCAAGCCCTGCCACATCCGACAAGCGTCAGAGCCGGTGTAGTACAATTCAATCTTAGTCCTGTATAGACTCTTTGCCTATTTGATGGTTCGTCGGAGGGCATAGCGGGATTTCTTATAAGCGTCCAGGTTAGAGTCCCGCTCCTTAAAAGCGGATGCTCTACCCTTTAGTTCAGTGCGGATGTTGCCTGTAATCCATTGCTTCTGGTTGGGGTATGTACGTACGGTCACTGTGGGGACGACGTCGTCGATGCACTTATTGATGAAGCCAGTGACTGATGTGGTGTACTCCTCAATGCTGTCTGAAGAATCCCGGAACATGTTCCAGTCTGTGCTAGCAAAACAGTCCTGTAGTTTAGCATCTGCGTCATCTGACCACTTTTTTATTAACCGAGTCACTGGTGCTTCCTGCTTTAGTTTTTGCTTATAAGCAGGAATCAGGAGGATAGAGTTTTGGTCAGATTTGCCAAATGGAGGGCGAGGGAGAGCTTTGTATGCATCTCTGTGTGTGGAGTAAAGGTGGTCTAGAGTTTTTTTCCTCTGGTGCACATTTAACATGCTGGTAGAAATTAGGTAGAACGGATTTAAGTTTCCCTGCATTAAAGTCCCCGGCCACTAGGAGCGCTGCCTGTAGATGAGCGTTTTCCTGTTTAGTTATGGTCTTATACAGCTCATTGAGTGCAATCTTAATGCCAGCATTGGTTTGTGGCGGTAAATAGACAGCTATGAAAAATATAGATGAAAACTCTTGGTAAGTAGTGTGGTCTACAGCTTATCATAAGATACTCTACCTCAGGAGAGCAAAACCTTGAGACTTCCTTAGTATTTGATTTTCTGCACCAGCTGTTGTTTACAAATATACACAGACCGCCACCCCTTGTCTTACCGGAGTCAGCCGTTCTATCCTGCCGATGTAGCGTATAGCCCGCTAGCTGTATGTTGTCCATGTCGTCATTCAGCCACGACTTGGTGAAACATAAGATATTACAGTTTTTAAATGTCCCGTTGGTAGGATAGCCGTAATCTTAGGTAATCTAATTTATATTCAAATGATTGAAGATTGGCTAATAGGCTTGATGGAAGAGGCAGTTTACTTGCTCGCTGTCGGATCCTTTCAAGGCACCCCGACCTACGTCCACGATATCTCCGTCTCTTTCTCATGCGAATGACGGGGATTTGGGCCTTGTCGGGTGTCTGTAGGATATCCTTCGCATCCGACTCGTTGAAGAAAAAATATTTGTCCAATACGAGGTGAGTAATCGCTGTCCTGATATCCAGAAGCTATTTTTGGTTATAAGAGACAATGGCAGAAACATTATGTACAGAATAAATTACAAATAACGCGAAAAAACACACATAATATTACAATTGGTTAGAGGGCTGTAAAACGGCAGCCATCTTCTCTGGCGCCATCTCTTGTGGGACACTTTTTAGCACTTTATGCAGGTCATAATTCTATGTCATAATAACTCAAGCATAATGTGTCATTGTAGACCTCTAACCTGCTCCCCCACCACTGACTGAAGAGTCTCAGTGATCATGCTAAAAGTCTCAGCTGGCTTCCTCTTTTTGGCATTGCTCTTCCCTGCCGCCAGGGCCTGGGACGGGCTGAAGGGAGTGCCATCACTCATCCTATGGAGAAGGAGACAGAGACGGTTCTATTTCATCAAAGTGCTCTGCGTTCAAATACACAGGGATAAAATACCATTTAACAAAAAAAGATGACAACCAAACAAGACAACACCAAAAAGGGACTAGCCTATATTGGTAGTACGGGACTATATTAGTAGTAAGGGGGTCCAGATGTTCTAATGGCAGGCTAACCTGTTGTTGAGGGCCTTGATGGCCTCCTGCATCTGGAGGTACTCTGCTGCCTTCCACACGTCGTTGACCTCCTCTGGCCCACTGACGGCAAGTGTAGCCGTGTACGTAAACTCCATCAGCTGGCGGAAGGCTGAGTTACTCACTCCTGCAGAACAAACAACACAGAGGATTGATGGGTGCACTGGGTTAGCATGTGATAAGTCTTATAGTTATTATCAAAAGTGGATGTGGGTCTTGTTTTTTGCTTTTCTCAGGGGCTATAGAGCTCTTTCTGCTATTGTTTATTTTCTTGATTGATATGACAGACAGGCAGACGATGTGTCATTGGTTCAGCAGCGCCGGACAACGTGACCAGGAAGATTTGAATTTACTGGCCCATAGAACATGGCACAGAGGTGGGTCCAATGGGGAAGTAAATGGAAATACATTTGCCAAAATTATATAATTACTCCTGTCTATACAGAAATAAATAAAATACATAACCAGAAATCGAGGATCATTAGTTTATTAATTGTTTTAAATAGCTGTGGATTGTTCCAAATCACAAGCTCCTAGGCCTATGCCTATTAGGGAAGCCCACAATTTGGGCAGTACGCGTGACAATAGGCCTCGCTGATTAGTGAATAAAAAGCATTATTTTGCTAATATTTTTTGGGGGTCCCTGTCATTTTGGCCGGCAACAGTTTATGCTTTATAAAAAAAATATATATATACACAGTACCAGTCAAATTTAGACACACCTACTCATTCCAGGGTTTTTCTATATTTTAACTATTTTCTACACTGGACACCAAGAGTGTGCAAAGCTGTCATCAAGGCAAAGGGTGGCTATTTGAAGAATCTCAAATATAAAACATATTTTAATTTGTTTAATACTTTTTTGTTACTACATGATTCCATATGTGTTATTTCATAGTTTTGATTTCTTCACTATTATTCTACAATGTAAAAAATAGTAGAAATAAAGAAAAACCCTTGAATGAGTAGGTGTGTACGAACCTTTGACTGGTACTGTATATAAAAATGTTTTTAAAAAAAGGCTTTACATTTTTATTTATTTTATTTTTTATTGCCGGCTAATGGAAACCCTGAGCAATACACACCTTCAATCTCCACTAGTGGCTCCTGTGTGAAGTCCTGGAAGAACTTGTGGAAGAACTGACTGCATGCTGCCAACACTGCCTTATGAGCCCTGAAATGGTGCCCTAAAGACCAGAGTAAGATGAGCCCATAAATAGTACAGCACAGAACATCATTAACTAGAATACTTCATACAATGTGGACACTTGTCTTTAACACAATGATATTGAAACAGAAATGTATTTATCTGAACAAAACATACAAGTCAACAATCTTAAGCTGCACCTTCACTTTCGGCAATACAACAAGCATCATTGAGGATGAGCTTACCGTCCACTATGAGAGTGATGTCTGTGAACTGGTCCAAATGTCTCTGTTCATTCAGTTTGTCCAGCATGACTTTATAGAGGGCTGGGAACTCACTGCCACACTCCACCTCATCCTCATCCGCCATGGCTCAGCCCCTCACCTGGCACGGCACAAGGAAGAAATCCATGCAAAGATGGCACACTGTACAGATGATCACATCACCAGTAATGGTCTGTGTTTGTACAGTTACATTTGTTTTGTTAAATATGACCAATATGATGGACAGTACTGTGATTTTACCATTTTGATTTCAATAACATTTTATCATTGGGCATTTTGTAGCCTAATGAATATATATTTTCATAATTATCTGCCAATGTGGGTTTATTTGAGGGAAAATACCGCTATGTTGGACTGATTGGACTGATTTCTCATCATTACATTATCAGTGCTATCTGGGGTCCTTGGGACGTCCCTAGCCTCACCATTTAGCTACCTAACCACGTCCCCGGATAGCACGGACCATCATGAACTATCACAAGGATGTTCGAGGCGGGAAAAACGCGTCAATCTAATGTATTATCCAATAGAATAGTACCAATGCAAAGGAAAGACGTCGAATTCAGCCAATCATGCGTTTGACAGCAGCGCTAACCGCATCAAGTTGGCCAATGGCAGACAGTGAGCGCGTTCGACATTGCAGTCTACTTTAAAGGCGAGACTGACAGATCTACAAATCACCTTGAGTCATAAATAACTACTCAATATTCTTGTAGATTAGTCCGTCAATCACAATTTACCCATGATACATCACGGTTGTGATACTCTCGAACACGACCAGTGTTAACGCAGGTAGTTAGCTAAATAGCTTAGTTGCAGCGGAAGGCCTCTACTCTGGCTATAATTCGGGCCGCAAAATCAAACTAACGATATACATTTAATCATAATGTGTATCGAATCATACCAACGCTACGTGATACATAATGGGTTGAAAAAATCAGCGAAGAATCCCGTTAACGTTAGCCAGCAAGTTAACGTTAGCTAGGTCATCATTTGAAATCGGCCCGTGAAGGCTCGCCATTTCGAGTTTGACCATCGCCATTACGTCATCAAATCGCGCATTAAAATACACTTTTTCCAGAGACATTTTCCAATTTAGACCTCATTTGGCCGAAGTATTTCACCTCATGCATCAAAAAACATACCTCAAGTTAGGTTCCGCAGCTTTATTTAGTTGTTTTTGCGTATATCCCTCTCCCGACTCCAGCAGCGTTGCTCTACTCTCGTTCGTCTAAAAAGGGCGGTCACTCAATCGGGCCTCAGATTCCCAGCAGCCACTGCAAACTCCAGAGGACGCCGAGGAGTGTTGCTAGGCAACATATGGCCTTCCCCTTTCGGTTCTCGTCTCTGCATTCTGGTTGTCACTAGTTAACACTAAATGTTGTCTATTATATTGACAAGATAGTCGACAAACCGCTCGAATAATGACAAAATACGTCCTCAAAGATGGAAGGCAGGCAGGAGGAAGCGATTTAAGGTGGGACCATTCTAGCCAATGAGAGGGCAGATACACGTGTGAAAAACAGGCCATAGAGATATATAGAGCACTCATGTTTGTATCTGTGCAATTAAAGCATCTGCGTCAACATGGACAGCTCCATTGAGGCTATCTCCATTTTAAAGTAGTATATTTTCTTCTTCATTGACTGATTGCTCCCAATTGCTCCCCCAGCAATGGCAATGTCCATTTTAAAATGGATTATATCCATGATGAGTCCTTTATCTATCTCTATGACAACAGGCATCACTACAGGCAACTTTTTCCCAAAGTTGCCGAAATGCCACGTGCGTCCACTTATATCAGTGAATTCGTAACAACCAAATCATTACGAAACTTCTATTAGATCAAATAAGCCTCACTTAGCAAATTGACAATTACATTTTTTGTTGACCAAATTCGACACTCTTGACCTCCGTACAAAAATTCGTAAATTCGTGGGTTTATTTTTCGTGGACAGATTTTTGGGGGAGTAAAACTTATCGCTTCGCCTCTTTTTCTCTGTTGACGCAGCCACAAAGTCATAATTATGGCTAAACCAAGCCTATTTCTACAATGTATCTTCTTAAAATCTGAACCTAACCTTAACCACAGTGCTAACATTATACCTGACCCCAAACTTAAATTAAGACCAAAAAGCACATTTTTGTTTTCATTAATTTTTATGATATAGCACATTTTGACCAATAATGTTTTTGAACCCTGGATTGCTGATATTATGTATTGGCCATTGAGTTGCTTTGAAGCCACCGGTCGGCCATATTTGCACTTCCCAGTAGGCAGTCAGTCTTCCATAGGAATGAATGGAATTCTACAGTATTTCAATTAACTGTTTCAAGGACAAAATTACATGTATTTAAGTATTTTGTTGTTGTAGTGGGGACAGTAACATTAGTAATCTCCAACAATTATACTTTATATATTCCAAAATATATTTTACATTAGGCAATAGCATACAGCAGTATCATCAGCATACAAGTGCAGGTTACATTTTTTTACAGACAAGTCTGTATTGTTAATGTAAACAGTAAAAAGTACAGAACCCAGAATTGACCCCTGCAGGACACCTTTCGTAATATCCAGGAAACCTGATTTAACACCATCAGTAGATATACAGTATATTGAGTTCTATCTGTCAAGTTATTTTTAAACCAGTTACATGCAGCCTGGTCTAGGCCAATTGATGAAAGCCTCTGAATTAGTAGTGAGTGATCAACAGTATCGAAAGCCTTTGACAGGTGAATGAAGAGGGAAGCACAATGTTGCCTTTTCTCCATACAGTTAACCACATCATTTATAACTAGGGATGCAGCAGAGATAGTGCTATGACCTAGTCTAAAACCCGACTGATGTACATTTAGAATACAGTTAAAAGATAAGATCTTAGCTTAGAATTAATCAAGGATTCTAATATTTTAGCTAGGCAAGAAAGTTTAGAAATAGGCAGATAACTATTTAGGTCACAACGGTCACCACCTATGTGAAGGGGGAGTACATGGGCTGCCTTCCAAATCTTGGGGATAGTATCAGATATAATCATCAAATAAAAATATGGGTTAATGATTCAGCAATCGGGGGCAGAGAGCTGCAGCAAAAATTGATCAAGCATATCAGCTCCAGTGGATTTTTTTAAACATCAATCTTAAGCAAGGCATCTAGCACATCACAGATAGTAAATTGTTGAAATGAAAACAAAGATTCACTAGAAGTTGACAGGTTAACCGTCGACTCAGCTAGAGGCTGGCAGAGGGAAGAGCAGTCGATTGATTGACCAGGGTATCTCTCAAATAAAAAGCCTGCCGAGATACAATTATGATTAAAAGCATCACTTATCTCATTGTTCTCAGTTATGATGCCAGAGTCAGACAGAACTTGCTTAGGCAGTGAAGAAAATGAATTTGCACACTTCAGTGTATTTACTGTTTTCCAACATTTTAAAAGATCACCAGATAGAGCTTAAAAAGTAGCTTGATTTAGCTTTCTTAATCGAGATAGTACACTGCTCAAAAAAATAAAGGGAAAACTTAAACAACACAATGTAACTCCAAGTCAATCACACTTCTGTGAAATCAAACTGTCCACTTAGGAAGCAACACTGATTGACAATACATTTCACATGCTGTTGTGCAAATGGAATAGACAACAGGTGGAAATTATAGGCAATTAGCAAGACACCCCCAATAAAGGACTGGTTTTGCAGGTGGTGACCACAGACCACTTCTCAGTTCCTATGCTTCCTGGCTGATGTTTTGGTCACTTTTGAATGCTGGCGGTGCTTTCACTCTAGTGGTAGCATGAGACGGAGTCTACAACCCACACAAGTGGCTCAGGTAGTGCAGCTCATCCAGGATGGCACATCAATGCGAGCTGTGGCAAGAAGGTTTGCTGTGTCTGTCAGCGTAGTGTCCAGAGCATGGAGGTGCTACCAGGAGACAGGCCAGTACATCAGGAGACGTGGAGGAGGCCGTAGGAGGGCAACAACCCAGCAGCAGGACTGCTACCTCCGCCTTTGTGCAAGGAGGAGCACTGCCAGAGCCCTGCAAAATGACCTCCAGCAGGCCACAAATGTGCATGTGTCTGCTCAAACGGTCAGAAACAGACTCCATGAGGGTGGTATGAGGGCCCGACGTCCACCGTGCAGGACGTTTGGCATTTGCCAGAGAACACCAAGATTGGCAAATTCGCCACTGGCGCCCTGTGCTCTTCACAGATGAAAGCAGGTTCACACTGAGCACATGTGACAGAGTCTGGAGACGCCGTGGAGAACGTTCTGCTGCCTGCAACATCCTCCAGCATGACCGGTTTGGCGGTGGGTCAGTCATGGTGTGGGGTGGCATTTCTTTGGGGGGCCGCACAGCCCTCCATGTGCTCGCCAGAGGTAGCCTGACTGCCATTAGGTACCGAGATGAGATCCTCAGACCCCTTGTGAGACCATATGCTGGTGCGGTTGGCCCTGGGTTCCTCCTAATGCAAGACAATGCTAGACCTCATGTGGCTGGAGTGTGTCAGCAGTTCCTGCAAGAGGAAGGCATTGATGCTATGGACTGGCCCGCCCGTTCCCCAGACCTGAATCTGGGACATCATGTCTCGCTCCATCCACCAACGCCAAGTTGCACCACAGACTGTCCAGGAGTTGGCGGATGCTTTAGTCCAGGTCTGGGAGGAGATCCCTCAGGAGACCATCCGCCACCTCATCAGGAGCATGCCCAGGCGTTGTAGGGAGGTCATACAGGCACGTGGAGGCCACACACACTACTGAGCCTCATTTGGACTTGTTTTAAGGACATTACATCAAAGTTGGATCAGCCTGTAGTGTGGTTTTCCACTTTAATTTTGAGGGTGACTCCAAATCCAGACCTCCATGGGTTGATACATTTGATTTCCATTGATCATTTTTGTGTGATTTTGTTGTCAGCACATTCAACTATGTAAAGAAAAAAGTATTTAATAAGATTATTTCATTCATTCAGATCTAGGATGTGTTATTTTAGTGTTCCCTTTATTTTTTTGAGCAGTGTACATCTGTTTCTCAATTGTCTGAAAGATTGCCAGTCCACCACAGAGTCAGTTTTCCTTGCTTTGGCCCA